TCTTCGCGGCTTTCAGTCGTGTTGTTGGCAGTCGGACGGGAGACTTTAGTCAGGCTTGTGAACCGGGTTTGCTAGATTCGTCTAGTATGCGCAGCGTCCTAGATCATGGGGCGTAATCCGGGCTAGGTTCGGGTGAGATTCCTGAATAGTCCCATCGGGTGGCAATATGTCGCCAAGTCGAACCGCTGACTTCGGTCGGGACAAACGAGATGCGGTAGGCGAACCAGGTGGCTGGGCTTGCACCCCGGCCACATTGGGCACAAACACAAGCAATGGACAGAATAAGGATTGAAAATGATTTATTTTGCCACCCTGGCCTCCCACAGGAGCCGGGGAGCTTGGCCCAATCTTCGGCCGCTCAAGCTGGGGCTCCGGCCACAGTTTCCGCGGTCATTGACTGGACTTGTCCGGTGTGTGGACGTGCGTTCACCACCAAAACGGGGTTGGGGGTCCACAAGCGTAGGGCCCACCCCGAAGTAGCAAATGCGGAGGCCGCTCCAAATATGGTGAAGCGCAGGTGGCGCGATGAGGAGCTGGCATTGATGGCGCGTACAGAGGCGCGATTACTGGAGGAGACCGGACGATGTACGAACGCAGACCTGTACAAAAGCCTGTCGGGGTCCGAGCGGACCCTAGAGGCAATCAAAGGAAAGAGGCGCTGTGGGGAGTATAAAATCCTGGTACAAGCGTGCCGGGAAGAGTACAGATCCCCACCAATAAGCAGCCAAGCGCCAGAGAACAGGGGTTCGACACGGCCGGAATCTGAAAGTGTCGAGATGCCGGTCCAGCCTCTGCCAGCTGAAGACGCACCGCCTGTCGCCGATGATCCATCACCGCACTTAGGTGGTGCCCCAGATAACACGTGTGCAGACCAAATTGTCGCGGATCTTCTAGCGAGGGCCACGGTGAGGAGGTCGCGACACGGCCTGGGTTCCCGTAGTGCGAGGCGGCACCGCATACCGAACGTGACTCGGGCCGACACCGCACTGGCCGGTTTGTCGAGCCGCAAGAGGAGGAGAATAGAGTACGCCAGGGTACAGGAACTATTCCAGAAGTGTCGCAGTCGAGCAGCAGCCGAGGTGATCGATGGAGTACATAGGAGCGTCCGGCACTCTCTCGAAGATTTGGAAGCCTATTGGCGACCGGTCCTAGAGAGGGTGTCTGATGCCTCAGGGCCTACACCGTCTGCTCTAAACGCCTTACGGCGGGAGGAGCAGTATGGGGGCGCACGCGATTACTCTCGGCTGTGGGTGCCTTTCACGACCGACGAAGTGAAGGCGTCCAAGTTTGACTGGCAGACAGCGCCTGGTCCAGACGGTATCCGTCCGGATGAGTGGCGCCTAGTTCCTGCGGCCCGAAAAGCGGAAATTTTCAACTCTTGGATGACCACTGGCGTAGTACCAGAGCCCCTGCGGCAATGCCGGACAGTCTTCGTGCCGAAGATGGATGATCCTGCTGGGCCGGGCGACTATCGACCGATTTCGATCGCCTCGATACCGCTTAGGCACATGCACTCGATCCTGGCGAGAAGGCTTCTGGATTGCTGCCCCCCCGATGCACGACAGCGTGGATTCGTCCGCGCCGACGGCACGTTGGAGAATTCCGCCGTGCTGGACGCGGTGCTAGGGGATAGCAGGAAAAAGTTAAGAGAGTGTCATGTGGCTATTCTCGATTTCGCGAAGGCGTTCGACACAGTGTCTCATAGAGCGCTGGTCGGGCTTCTTCGGGCTCGAGGGTTGCCCGTGGCATTCTGTGATTACATCCACCGGCTGTACGACGCGGCGACCACCAAGTTGGACGTCGGCGGACAGTCGGGTGAACCTGTTAGATTGGGCCGAGGTGTGCGTCAGGGAGACCCGTTGTCGCCCATCCTGTTCAACATGGCGATGGACGTAATTCTTGCTGCTCTACCGAAAGAGGTAGGCTATAGGCTGGAGATGGAGCGAGTCTCGGCTCTAGCCTATGCCGATGACCTAGTCCTGCTTGCAGGCTCAAAGGTAGGGATGCAGGAATCCATCGACCGTGTGTTCGAGGTTGCGTCGTCGATGGGCCTCTTGGTCAATCATACCAAGAGCTCCGTCTTGTCGATGGTGCCAGACGGGAAGCGCAAGAAGCACCACTATCTGACCGGGAAGAATTTCCGGATAGGTCGGAAGTGGCTGCCTCAAACCTCTTGCGTGGAACGTTGGCGCTATCTGGGCATCGACTTCCAGGCGTCTGGATGCGTGACGTTAGAGCATAATATCAAAGTTGCCTTGACCAACATCTCAAAGGCACCCCTCAAGCCGCAGCAGCGGCTCGAAATTGTGAGGGGACACCTTATTCCGAGATTTTTGCATGGCCTTGTGCTAGGTAATATCTCGGATGATAGGTTGTGTATGCTCGACGTCCAGATCCGGGGTGCGGTTAGGACTTGGCTGAGGCTCCCGAAGGACGTGCCTGTCGGGTACTTCCATGCCGACATCAAGGACGGCGGCCTAGCGATCCCATCGCTTCGGGC